AGTAAAATTATATTTCCCAGAGGAGATAACGAAGTATGAATGGATAAATTGGAAAGTTTGCTAACGAAGAGAAAGTAACAATGTATTGACATGTCCACAGATTCAGCGTCCTGATCTGAATTCCGTGAACATTCCCTAAATATTTTAAACCTCGAGTTTCTAAAATGCACCAAAGACTCTCTCACAAACTTATAATCAGCTTAATGCCATTCTAAAAAAGAATGTATTTAAGTGAAAACATTTTCTCAACATAAGTGACAACGTAACAAAATATAGACACAGATTGACGCAGTGCATGAAATGCAACTAAAGATTGCTTTAATAGACCTAGAAGTCAGCAGTTTGTTTAAGAAAGTGGTAACATATAACCCAGTTATTAAAAGTAATGCAATGGAAGATGACACCAGGAACAAAAAACCAAAGCTTTGAACCTTCTGCTAGGGGCAAGTGAAGAAGTTCCATCCATACTCATGCTTCATCTCTCAGATACATCTCCTCAAACCTACGTTTGAAGAGCATTTAATTATTTTATGGTGAAATTTGACACTTCAGCGTGAAGCTATATCTCAAATATTGACATAAGTTTCAGTGTTTGCTACTGAAACTTTAAACTTTTGTATTATTTGTAACACACCCACCTATCAAAGTAATGGTTTGTTACTGAAGTAATCGATAATAGATAAGAATACCTATGTAATTGGTAACCTAAACATTCAATGACCGTCAATGATTAAGTGATACAAAACAAAGGATCTATGATGTTTTAAAAGAGAGGAAGGAAAAATAGGAATGTATTCCGAAATATTGAAAAAAATAAGTACCATGCATGATTTCGTTAGTTGAAAAATTAGAAAATAGACATAGGAAAGTTGAGACCTTTAATAGCCATTTCAATACGTAAAACCAATTACGTCTATAAAAAGTAATAAAAACACTTTTTAATGCTAAATGTATTTTAATAATTTTTTTGGCACAAGCTTGGTTCCGTAAGATACATACATATATTACACACATCGTAGTATAATATTTAAAATATAATCAATAATTTCCATTTGAACAAAAAAAAAAGGTTTTGATTCCCCGCGGCCCGGGGATATCATCTCTTCATCTACACGACCTAGATTTGTAGGAATAAATAATTGATCTCACTTAAATTCTCCATAATAAATTTAATTCATTATTGTATAAATATATATTGATCAACGCAACACAAATCTTACTGGAAGAATCATATCAGGAATAAAATAATTCTTTCTAAATTTGTTCTAAATTAAAATTATATTCCCCTTTTATAGCGCTATCCGGCTTCTGTTCAACTAACTCGCGATTGCTTAAGCTCCAATATATATCCATTAACTAATCTACATATTGTGGTTTCTTATTGAGAAGGCTGAATTGAAATAATGCCATTCTGGCTCCAACGATTCTCCAAGAGGATTGGTGAGAAGGCGTGATGAAGCCACGTCACAAGGTAATATTTAGTTATCATTGTCAACACTACCTATTTATATTATAAGATCTTTGTTACAGTCTTCATAAATCATCTTACAATGTTTAATTGCACATGATTTTTTTTCGCATTTTACACAATACTATTTTGGTCGTCGTATTTTATCTATCCCCTGTCAAGGGGATCAGTACTTCCTCTTCTCAGTTCCTCTTGGTTTTTCTTCTTAAACAGGACGTCATACATCAGATATTTCTTCAATCCTTAGTAGTAATGAAAAGGCATGTAAATGTTACTCTTCTGCCGTCTTCACTCGTTATCTCCCAGATTCGCCTCAATTACCAGCAAAAAAACCATCTTAAAGAAGTTGCAAATACTTGTTTGGAGTTATTTCAGTCTAAAGCTTAAAACTACATTCTCTGTTACAGAAAAACATGAAAAATGAATGAAAAATTAGAAAGACATTAAAATTTACGTTGTTATGCGCGTGTCGTGTATCAGATTCAAATGCCCCTGGCACCCCAAATGCGAAGCGGTTGACAACGTTTTTAGCACTGAACCCTAGTGTGAGTGATAAAAGACAGATAGAAGAAAAAGGAGCGTGTTCCCTTTCACCATGTTGACACGATACCGAAATTATTTTTACTATGCATCTAAGCGATTTGCCCGCCTGAATAGTAAATTATATTCATTTTGTGTTGAAAAAAATGTAATAAAAATAACACTAATTTTTTTTTTCTTTTTTAACTTGTCTTTACTTAAATTATCTATAAAATGCTGCGATCTACTTTAAAATTTATTTTAAGATATATTCTTCTAAAGTGCATTATACAGATGGGTTCTCCGGAAATATCTTACAGTTTTAGAGGTTCCATGAATCGACGAGTTTGAAGGCCAACTTGTAATAGGTACTATATTCGGGTTCTTCTACTAATCCTCTTGAGGAAACTATTAGTTTAAAAATCGCTTTCCGTTGAGATGACTTGATTTTATGCTAAACTGCTATTTAAAAACTGACGTTGGATATGGGAGGACGATAGTTAATCTTGAAATCTAAGAACAAGAAAATGTGAACTGCGACTGGAAGGTCACGCGTACTGAAATTATACTTTGTCGTAAAATCGACTAGGAGTTGTGGTGACATTAAGCTGACCGAGTTAGCGGAGTTCACGAAAGATCGTCACGAGAAGCTCCATCTGAAGCTAAGTGATTATCAATAACCTTATACTTCAGATTAAGTGTTAGGATTTACTCCCACAGTTAAGCTATAAAGTTGTATATTTTCAGAAAGTATTAAAGATGGAATATAAATAGATAATTTATCAGATCTCATGTCTGCTTCTTCCTCGAGTCATCTTATTCCCGCGACATTCGGAACACACTTATCTACAGTTATCTCGAAAGAATAATCTCCCTTAACCCACTAATGGCTTTTTCAGACATCATACCGTTCTGGCAGAGAAGTAAACATTGGCTACAATTTCCATGATACGCGAGAATTTACAAAAACTTGCTTTTTTTCAATTCTAACCATTATATAGCTCACACTCTCTATATAATCATTTATTTATCTTGGTGGAATTATTAAACGTTAATAAAATACATTTTAAAGCTCTAAATTGAGCTGAAATTTAATGTACGCTTATTTTCGATGGCAATGCAATAATTTAATTATAATTAATAAAATTAATTGATAAAAAATATTCAAAGAATTACAAATACAGCCATGTTGACATCATTTTGGGCAACCTTTTTGGCGACCTGTATCAAAACTTGAAAATGTTTTTTCTCACGTTTTAAGAACATTCAGTTGAACTGAAACTTTAAATAAACGATTATTTTGGATGGCAATACGATAATTTAATAATAATTAATAAAAAATAATTACCACTTAATACTGTGATTCTGTCAGATGGAAATATATATTTATATTAATTGTAACTATATTTAATAAAAAGTAGCTAAAATAAAATTGTTTGTTGATCTAAGAAGGAATGACTTAATTTTTTCTATATTACTTGTTTATAAAGCAAATAGTATATTTCAATGGTTCTTCATTTTAATTGCATTGATTATTTCAAAATGATTTTTCTCTCTCTTTATACAGAGTAACTCAAATTTGTGCATGAAACGGTAAAAAAAAATGTATTTTACTCGTAGATTTCTGAATTATTTCTGAATACTTCCCGCATTTTATAACAAAAAATTGTTCGAAATATTTTGTTTTCAGAAAAAAATTGTGTTGTATTGTTCAAAATTATAATTTTTTCCTTATGAGTAATGCAATAAAAATCTTCATGTGTCTAATTCCGTATTTCATGAATAAAATTACGGAGAAAATCTACAAAATTTCTAATTTAAAATTATATTTATAAGAAATTATCTAAAAATATTTGAAAAATAGGACAAGAAAACTAATAAATAAAAGTGATATTCTTTTACGTGTATAATATGGGAAAGTGTATTAATGTGCATAAAGAATCCAAATAACACAGTAGATATTTTAAAATTTTATAACTCATTAAAAAGTATTTTCCAACGATATTTTTTCAAAATGTAAAATACTGATAAAGTTAATTAAATTAAAAATATGATAAAAAACGGTTAACTTTTTCAGTTAGTAATTCACTTATTTTCATCTTTAAGTGAGTGCTTTTAAAAATAAAGGAAGTAATAATGCAATTGGATTATAATTTTTAGAAATATCTTGGGATTTTACGGTTCATACGAAGTTAGGCTTCCAAAAATAAAATTGAAAAATAAAACAGTTTTTACTTAACATAACAAAATTACTTTATTCACTGATATTGAGAAGCAAATGAAAAATAATAATCAGATTAAAATAAACGAAATTACTTTGCAATTTCACCGAATAAGAATATTAAACGAAACGGACCTAAAAAGCGCATTTAACTACAGAATACCTTATAGAAATATCTCTAACCATACTAAGCTGAAGCGACAGCAACAATGATGGTTGGTGACACTTTACTTAAGATATTAGTGTTTAAAGTATTTAACTCTTATTTTAGACAGCATAATCTCCTTACATATTTATCATTCCGTGGAATTCCGTTTCTAACCAATTTCGAAATAAAAAAAAAACGCGGGCTCCATGGAAGAGCATCCATCAACCTATGAAATCGAAGTAAGTAAAAATAAGTGCTAGCCTCTAAGATAGTAACACGCTTTTAAATGTTTAACAACTTTTATTTCAAATTTTGGAATTTTTAAAGCTTATTTTCGTTAAACACATAAAGTATTCAATTATATACTTTTATTTTGAGTTAAGTGTTCTTAAACTCGAATAAAAAATTTAAAATTACAGTTTTAGGTTTCTCTGAGTTCATTAAAAGGGTTGTGCACTAAAATTGAGATATTGCTGTCAAATAGGAAATAATATGTAGCTATAATGCTATAGGGAAGGATAGTAAAACACTTCATAAATAAAGTATTAGCTCTCTTCCGTTTTTCACTGGAAACTTATTCATGAAACAATCTTTCGCGGTGCAATAATAGCAATGCAAATCAAAATTAACTAAAATTTGTACACGGGTTCGGCTGGGATTTGAGCCCGGGACCTCTCGCACCCTAAGCGAGAATCATACCCCTAAACCACCGAACCTTCTGTACCACGCTTGTGTAGAAAACATGTGTCTCTCTTGTTTAGAAAGCGTATTGAACAAAACAATGTTTTGAAACTACAGTTATATTTACTCATAGGGCATATGATCAATCTAAGGAAGCATTTTTATACTAAAGCAACATCGTGTAAGAAAATAAAAACATAAAAACATTTTCTAACTCAGAATGCTTACACTAAATTTGTAAACATGGTTTTTTTTTCTTAACGAGTGTTTTAAATTTTAAGCAATTATGTGGATTATATCATTTGTATATTTAATATTCCTAAATGAAATGATTTTTTGTAATGCATTTAAATCAATCCATTTAACAGTAAAAATAATTTATGAATAACACATTTATTTGTAGGTTATTTAACGATATAAAATAATCAATTTTAATGCGATATAAAAATTTAATTTGAAAATTAGAAACGAACATATATGTATCTCCCAATCTCTCTCCCTGTTAAGGGTGAACTTTAGGTTTTTCTTTTATTTTATTACAAAGTTTAAGAGTCACCTCCATTCAAAGAAAGTGTGCTGCATACATGACAGGAACTATTTAAAGCACACTGAAGAAAAGTTAGAGAGTGAATCGGTGCTATATATCGGAAACTTTTCTTCTTATTGGCAATAATGTGTGACTCCATTGATCACAGTTTTTCTTCTCAATACACTTCACTCTGGAGTAGATCGCATGCATATAATGTATGGTGTAATTGTTCTGTGTCATTTCTGCTTAAGTTGCATTTAAATTTTATAAAAATGGATATCAAGTGTTGAAATTTCAAACCAAGAACTAAGTGATGAGTTTCATAAATTAATTTGAATTGTACTTGTTTTTGTAATGTGTTATATCCCTGACAGCATTATCTGATAGAGGATAAGTTAGGAATTGAACTAAGCTCACTAAGTTTCGGCATTATCTGAATGGATAATGGGGTGGTTTTTCTATTACTATCAATTGACATTTTTTGAGCATTAGGTTCTTTATACACTCTGTCGCAAAAAAATATATGCACCCAGAAGAAATTGAGCTACATTCACGAAATTTGGTATGCATGTAGTGTATATGAAAATAAACAAATGATTAAAAATTCAGAACAAAATATCATTTTATTAAGCGGTTACAGCTTGCAAAAGGTTAAAAATCAGTAAGTAGTAAAGCCACCTCTGGCAGCTATACAAGCCGAAATTCGGCGTGGCATCGATTCAATTAGATCACTTATGACCCCCTGTGGAAGATCCTGCCATAGTCTTTGCATCTGCGCAGTTAATTCTCCTGTATCTCGGGACGGCTGCAGTTGCCTTCCCAGCGCGTCCAGACATGCTCTACTGGCGAAAGATCTGGTGTCCTGGCAGGCCATGGTAGGACGTCATATCCTTGAAGACATTGTTGGGAGAGTCGCGCAGTATGTGGACGAGCATTATCCTGTTGATAAATGGCACCTGGGCGACTTGATAGCATGGGTAGCACAATCGGCGTTAAAATATCGTCCACGTATCTGCGAGCTGTCAAAGTGCCTTGAAGGACCACTAAAGATGATCGTGTGTCCCAAGAAATTGCTCCCCACACTGTCACACTTTGTGAAATTGCTGTATGCCGCTCGACAATAAATGCCGGATCGGACCGCTGGCCGGTGCGCCTCCAGACACGTGCGGTGGTCATCAGCACTGAGACTGAATCGGGATTCATCACTGAAGATGACACGTCTCCAGTCTGTCACACTCCAAGTTGCCCGAGGTCGGCAAAATCCAGTCGACACTGCCTATGATGTGGGGTCAGTGGTAAGCGTTTTAGCGGACGTCGGCTCCTCAAGCCAACTTCGGTCAGTCGTCTCCTTATGGTTTCTCTTGATGGCACTGGATGTCTGGAAGGAGGTAAGTGGCGTTGAATCGATGCTAGCAACGTTGTTGGTGCCGAAGTGGCCACTCTTCTGATTGCACGATCCTCGCGATCATTTGTGTTCCTGGAACGTCCTGACCCTCCGCGACGGTACACTCTACCTTCTGTGATCCACTGTTGCCAACACCGAGCAACTACCATATCGCCCGACCGAGGTGGCGGCCGATACGTCTATTCGACCAACCTGCTTCTCTGAGGCCTATTATACGGCCCCTATCAAAGTCCGTCAGCTGCTCGTACTGCCGCCGGTTACGTCTTAGAGGCATCCTAAGTCTCAATATCGTCTATCAAAGTCATCAGATTCGTTTGGATAGCCGTACGGCACTCGTACTCATGCTTTTAAACTCTCCCAGTTGCGCAACTAATATGCGCATAGCACACTTAGCCTTGTCTCATTGGCTTCGAAATTTTAATCATTTGCATATCTCTTACCAGACTACATTCTTGCCGAGTTTCGTGATTGTAGCTTGATTTCTTCTGGGTGCATATATTTTTTTGCGACAGAGTGTATATATATATACATTCATGACCATTAATTAAGGATAATTCAGAATCACACAGAAATTGAACTCTGAAATAAAATTTTTCACCAGTAGAATTATCAAACACATCTTGAAGAAAAATTTGCAAATTACAGGAAACCACCAAATGACGTAGATAGTACGTCAGAATGACGAGAGGGAAAGAGAGGGGTAACTAAGGAATGGTGGCAAAGCAGTAAAAATGTTCACAAGCGTTTTAAAAGCCATTCGATGCAATAATGGCATAGTTATGGCACAAAAGAAGCATTTGGATGATTTTTTATGTTGTAGAGTTATTGACAACTGGAATGTGGACGTACCCAGCTGGAAGTATCCGAGGAACATGGTACAGCCCACAACATCATCTCCAGACTTTGGTAACGATTCCAAGATGATGCCAATGTGAGTAGATATTACAGCATAGGTCGCCTCCCGAGTTACAACGCCGAATGAGGACCGGTATTTGGCAGTTACTGCTAAAAGAAACAAAAGATGCACAGCATCAGACTTGTCTCGTCATCTCTCTTCAGCTACCGGTACGACAGTTTCAAGGCAGACCGTGTACAGACGCTTAGGGCACATTGGTCTATATGCTCGTAGGCCTGTCAGATGTGTTCCACTTACCGCAACTCACTGTCGCCTACGATTAGCCTGGAGTAGAGATCATGCATTGTGGACACCACAACAGTGGTCTTTTTTGACGTTTTCCGACGAGTCCAGGTTTAGTTTGCAGTCTGATTCTCGCCGGACTTTAACATTTTGAGGACGGCTGGCCGATATAAAGGCCAAAAGGAACAGATCTTTAAAAGACGGCTCTGGCCGGTGTATCGGCCACGCAATGCTTTCCCCTCTTAACAGCTTTCGAAACAGCATGAGGCCTATTACAGCCCTGGAAAATCATATGCTTGACCGGTTTCTTTTGTATTTAAAAAGGAGGGGAATACAGTTATCTCTATCACCCTTATCTAGAAATCCCTCTTTTTTCCCTTATGCTTAAATTCTCACTAGCGGAGAGAGCATAGTTATTTTTTCAAGCGATTTTGTCATCTCGATTACCTAATCATTTCATTTTAAACTAATTTGATTTTTTTAAAAAAAATGCCTAAACGTAAAAGGGGACTTACCACTGATGAGATTCAGAAAGTTTTAGCAGATTTAGAAGAAATTTCTGATGATTCGGATTCCGATTGTGAGTTAGAAAATGAGAAAGATGATTTGATCTCTGCTCAGCAAAAGTAACACATTGTTAAAAGTTTTGTGTAATAAACGCTTAAAATAGTGTGAATAATTTATGTCTAAAAGTGTAATATAACTTTCTGTGGTATTTATTTTATGTTAAAATTGTAATATTCGCAAGCAATGCCGTTTCTTAAATTATAATGGCGATTCAATGAAAAACATAGTGAAATGTTAACGATAGAGTCAAGTTGGCAAATATCTAGCTACTGTCATAGCTCGAGCTCCCGCCGTGTAGAGGTACGATGCACGTTAATACTTTATCCAACCGCGTTAGAATTTACTGCATGTTTTTTCATACAATATTTTTTTTGGATCACTACATTGAAAATTAAGGGATATACATAAACAAAATACTCCACTTTGGGAAATTTAATCCGTTAGAGCTAGTAAATTAATTAAAGATATTCCACTGTAGAATTAATTGTATACACCGTTCACTTAAAATAAATAGTCAAATCGTTTTCAAGGAATATTTCTGCTAAGTATTGGTAGAATATTCCTTCTCTAAATTGGAGCGGTGTGGTAGTTGCGAGAAGGGGGTGCCAGCTCAGGTGTCATCCACGTCACTTGACCATGGCTTAAAATTACGTGGTCCGTTGCCAAAAGCTAACAGTGCGACGTTAATATTAACTAACTCCAAAAAATACAGTACAGTAATTATAATTATTTTTATACTTAATAATGCAATATCCGCCTGTTCAATTAAAATTACAGCGTTATAATTAATTACTAACCACAAACAAATTTTGAAAATTTGTCCAAATGATGCAGTGTGAAAGAGAAAGTTTATTTACTTTAAGTACCAGAACTGATAAAAGCATTTATTGCGAAAAAAAGATCAATTTCTTAATTCCAAATGTGCATAATAAAATCATAAAAAAGGCATTCAAATAAAGAGAGATTTATAACAACCTCTCCCTTCAAAACTTAGTTTTATTCTGAAATAAAAAAAATTAGGGATTATGCAGATCACAGGAATTAGAAGCGAGCGCCATGCGTAGCCAAAACAAAAAGGGTTTCTTCACAAACAAAAGATAAGATATATGCTGTCGTGGGCTTTTTTGCAGCGCACGCCAGAATTGTTTGGAGATGGCAGAATTTTTTCCTACTTACTTGACAAATATCGTTATATTTTGGACACTTCACACAGTATCATTATAAATTATAGTCTATGCTATAAATTATAGCCTATGTGTTCTTCTGATGTATAAGCTATATTACTGAAAAGTTTCATTAAAATTCATTCAGTTGTTTTTGCGCGAAAGACGGCAAAACATCCTCACAAACTTTCCCATTTATAATACACATCTAGATTACACAATATATTACTGTA